GAGGCGTGTGGCCAGCCAGGTTCGCTCGCGCCATATGAAGCGTTCCAGAAAGGGCCCCGCCCTCGAGGATCGTCGGAGTTGGCATCTCTTCCTCAGCGGAAGGCCCGCGGAAGCCGGCGGATGTACAACGGGGGCTGCCCCGCCGGCGGAAGTAAAAGATGCGCCCCCAAGAGACGGCATTGCTTTTGGGTTGAGGGATTCCGGGATCGCCCGTCGATTATTTTTGCCGCATTTGAGAAGCGTCAGGCCTTCGAGTAGCATTGTAATTGTTGGAGCTTCTTGGTGTCAGAAAAGTAAGTCGCAAGGACGTAACTAATGACCTTCGGCCCATCCCGCCACCGTGCCTGGGTTGTGGGTATCAAGCCGATTTGATGGTCGTTGGAATCTCGTGGGATGCTACTCGGGGGCCTCTTGGAGGCAGTTTGGACGCATCTTGTGGCTCGTTTGGGAGCCTCTTCTTTGGGGCCTCTTGGAAGCCTCTTGGCGCCTCTTGTGGGCCTCTTGGGCGCAACTTAGGGCCCCTTGGGCGCCTCTTGGGGCCTCCTGGGGGCCTCTTAGCGCGGAAGGCTCGGATGTTCGGTTCGTGCTCCCTCTTTGGGGTCCCTTTCGGGGGCGGGCGTCTTGGGGCCCTCTTGGGCCGTTTTGGGCGCCTCTTGGGATGTCTTGGGGCCTTCTTGTGCTGCTTTGGGGCCCTCTTGGATGCCTCTTGGGCCGTCTTGGGGCAGTCTTGAGGGTCTCCAGGGCCTTCTGGGAGCGTCCGGAAACCGAAAAGGCAAGAATGCTCACATCCTTCAACAACCTACGGAAAATCTCTGCTTCTGGCCTCTTAGGGCGGTCTTCGGGGGCCTATTGGAAGTCTCCTTGGGCGTCTTTGAGGCCTCTTGGGTGGAGCGAATTTCCCGCGCTTCGGAGCCCTCTTGGACCGTCTTGGGGGCTGTTTGGGGGCTCTTTTTGCTAGTCTTGGAGCCCTCTTGGGTCCCAAACAGTCCTGCGACAAGACGCCGCCCAAGGAGAGTTGGGCCGAAGGGCTCCGAAACCCTTAACTGCTCCTCAGGAGCGAGGACTGAGGCTCAGAGTGGTGCTGAGAGGACCTGAGGACACGCCCTCTCCGTGCCCAGCGGCACAGTGGCGGATCAGGCGGGACGCCTCCAGGCCTACGGTCACGTCTGGTGGTGCGAAGAGGGGGAGCCAGTTGGAAGGTCAGAGGGGTGGAGAGGGGGGGAGGATGAGGAGGAGGAGAGGGAGAGGGAAGGGGGGACAAGCTAGGTGCGCTCGCGACGTGTCTGACATCCTAACCCGCCCACCCATCCGTTCCCATTGTGTGTTTGATCTGTTCGCGGACGCGCGTCATGGCGGACCTGGAACTCCCAAACAGACCCATATCGTGTCATGCGCAATGGAGAAAGGGGGAGCTGCGCACATAGGAAAAGGACGGGAAGGAGGAGGGGGCAGCAGATGAGAAGGAGCATGATCAGGAGGAACAGGAGGAGGATGAGGACCGAGGAGGAGGAGGAGGAGAAGTAGGAGGAGGACAGGTCTTCATGGCGTCCAAAGTGGGGGCCAGGCCGGATTCGGAGAGCGCCAACTCCAAGGCCTCCAAAATGAAGTCCGAGTTAATGGGGTCGGTGGGTCATGCCGCGTCGCCGATGCATCGGCGAACCAGCTCGATGTGGCGCCAGATGCTCTCCACGCCGAAGGCTCCGATGCATCGTCGATGCGGCAAGATGTTCCGACCCCATCTACTCGAAACACAACTGGGCGGCTTCCGCAACTAGAGTCAAACATCTGATAAAGAAGCCTCCTCCTGAAAATGTGTGCCAGCCTTTCTTAAGCAACTTGCCAGGAAGCTGACCCAGTCTCTTGAGCATGTTCGCCCTTCCAGCGTGACCACGAAAACATGGCCCAGGTATGTTTCAAGAAGTTTCCGGAAAGCTGGCCATGATTTCTATATTATCATGTATTTGATCATATTTTCGATTGTATGCAAGTGCACTGGTCCTGGCCAGGCCGATCTTGGGCCCGGGTTCGGTGTTTGACTTCGTGCCTGAGCCTGGAGGGCGTATGCACCGTTCCTGGGCCCAGAATGAGCCCAGCCAGGGTCGGTGTCAAATGTACAGCTGGCGTCCTCATATAGATGGGTCGAAGCATCGTGCCGCATCGCCGATCCGATGCATCGGCGATGCGGCATGATCTTCCGACCCAATTTGCTCAGGTCCAGTTTGAGAGGCCGCGTCTCCATGGAGCGATTGGGTCCCGCGGGAAAGGGGTTTGGGACGTTTCTTGACGTTCTTCGGGCTCCTGGAGGCCCTCCACGGACGGCGGGCCGTCAGAAAACGAGTCGGGACGAAAAGCTGGTCCTGAGGGAAAGGCACGGGGTAACTACAGTCGTCCCGGATTAGTAGGTCGACCCTGCCAGCTCAAGGGTACCCTTGTGTCTTGTGCCTCGCGGCACGTGCCTTCTTACATTCCTATGGCGATGTGGCCCTCAGAATGGTCGTTTGTCCTCTCGCGTGTCCTCTCCAATCAAGTCCGACTGTAACTATCCATGACGCCGTTTCCACCAGGGCCTGTTTCTTACATGCCGAGCTGAGGAGGGTGGAGCGATGCAGGCCTCCCAATGGAATTCCGAGTAGACGGGGTCGGAGGATCGCGCCGCATCGGCTTTGCATCGGCGCGCCGTCGGCGTGGAGAAAAAAAGTGGGCTCCACATCGAGCCGCATCGAAAATGCATCGTCGATGCGGCGCGATCCTCCCACCCCATCTACGCGGACCACGTTTTGGAGGCCTCCGAGCAAGGGACAATGGACAGAGGGAGGAGGAGGAGGAGGAGGAGGAGGAGGAGGAGGAGGAGGAGGAGGAAGGAGGAGGACAAGGAGGAGGAGAAGGAGGAGGAGGAGGGGAGGACGAAGAGGAGGACGACAGGAGGAGGAGGAGGAGGAGGAGGAGGAGAGGAGGAGGAGGAGGAGGAAGAGGAGGAGGAGGAGGAGGAGGAGGAGGAGGGGAGGACGAAGAGAAGGACGACAGGGAGGAGGAGGAGGAGGAGGAGGAGGAGGACGAGGGGGAGGAGGAGGAGGAGGAGGGCATGGAACTAACCGGAGGAGTAGTCGGGATGCGCGGGGGGCGGGGAGGAGGGCCGCGTGCCGCCAAGAATCCACAGGGTGGGAGAGTAGTTGCGGCTGCTGCGGAGGAGGATAGGGCGGGGGAGGATATCCAGGGGGGCGGGGGGCCCATGGTCGAGGCAATTCAGACGTGGATGCAGGCATGTGGGCGAGTGCAGGGTCTTGGTTTTCCTTCCCTACAGAAAGAGGCGGCACTGGCCTCCATCTTTTGAGGCTGCCTTGCCCGATGCGTAGATCTGGCGCCCATGCGCCAGACCTAAGGAGCCATATCCCCTGTTGCTGTGCACCCGAGACGGGGCACCTCTTCGCCATTGAGCGCAACAGCTGGAGCGGCGGAGCTTCTCGACAGCGATTCGCTCGGACCGTTGTGTCTCCCCCGGCCCCAGGCTGGAGTCAGAAAGGGGTGTGGTACGCATCGCTTCTAAGGGTGTGGCAGTCTGATCATGACGTGCACAGCAGTAGCCATACGCGTGATGATATCAACTCGGAGTCTACGCTCCTGGGGCTTGGGGTCAATCGACTGCCGAGCATCCCCTCAAGTCAATGTAACAAAGTCGGAGATTTGGCCCTCACGTCATGGCTGGAAGTTTGTATCCGTCCCATGAAACGGGCTCGGATGCGGGTTACAGAGTGGCGTCGCTCGGACTGACAAGCAGCCACGGTAATTGGCTCAAGCATCGCTGGGCTTGCGCCAGACAACGGCGTAAGCGAGCAAGCTCACACCTTTCTAGGGCGAGGGCTGACAGAAGGCTTGTACCAGCATGTCGGTGTAGAGCTGTCGTGCTTTGAGTTGCAAGAGGCGCCCAGTTGAGAGCAGAACCTGGACCTGGTAGGAGCGGGTGGTACCCTGCACGCTGCTCCCTGCGCGGGGATCATCGGTGCATGTGGGGCAGATCGTGGATAGCGCCACGCGCCTCCTGCAAAGTGCTCGTCCTCCTCGGGCCCTCGCCAGGCTTCCAGACTGACACACATAGGATGCCACAGGCGAGCCCTGCCCCACCACCCCACGATCTCTCAAGCGACATGAACCCCACCTCTCCCCTGAGAGATCGTGGGGTGGCGGGGTAGGGCTCGCATGGCCCCCTAACCAGACGACTTCGGATGAAACGCCAGCCCTGGGGGGAAGGGTCGTGACTTCCGGCGTGGCATCGCTCGAACGTGTGCATGTTTCCTTCGGCGAGGACCATCGAGGAGAATCCTTGATCATTTGGCGAGAAAAAAAAACACGCACGAAACCGAGAAAAGCACAGGGAATGGACGTCCGAGCGATGGCCAGCCGGGGGCCCTGCATCGGACAACGCAGGACGTCGGAGGCCCCAGGCGGGCGGCGGGCGTCGAGCCGACGCTCGCGCCGCCGAGCGAGAGACGCGGCGCGGATGCGTCTGCCCTTCCCCACCGCCCGCCAGCTCGGCACCTTCCCCGGCCACTCATCTGCACGAACGAAATGGGTAAGGAAAGAATGGGCACAATGCTCAACAGCAGTTCCTATTCATTTTGAACAGGACTCGCTGTCCGCGCCGCCGCGGCCTGTGCCCATTTGAGACAGAAGGCCGCCTGCCCAACAGCAGCCGCTGTTGGTTTCGGACAACATTTGTTGTTGGGCATTGTACTCATTTTCGTCCGTACCTGTTTCGGGCGTCCAAAACACAGACGCTTCCGGAGGGTCTCCTTCGGAGTCCACTCGGCGCGTGGGCCCGCTCGGCCGCCGAATGGGCCTTTGTAGGGGCTCGGGTCCAAGCTGCGGATGGGAGGCCCTGAGCCCGCTCGGCGGCCGAATGGGCTCGACCTTGACGCCATTCGCTTGGCATCGCTCGGACGTGTGCACTTTTTCTTGGCGAGGACCATCGAAGAGCATCCGGGATCATCGAGCAAGAAAAGCACGCACAACACCGAAAAACGCACAGGGAATGGACGTCCGAGCGACGGCAAGTTCGACGGCCGAACGAGTTCAGGGCTCCTGGGCGACACTCTGGCAGCGACCAGGATGGTGGAGGATCTGGGGGAGGGCTCCTCCTGCGGGGCCCTCGGCGGGAGACGGTCTCGCCTCTGCCCTCTCTGGCGGCCGTGCCCTGCTCCCGAGACCTCCGACGTCGTGATCTTCTCCGCAGCGAGGACCCCCGGGCCCCCAGGGTCTGGGCCCCTTCCCCACGACCAGCCTCTCATCCCGCGCCCTCTGTGGAAGGTCTTGGGGCCCAGCGAGGGCCCCGGGAGGCCGAGCATAGGTATTGCCGGACGCCTCCCGTCGTGATTCGTCATGGACGCTGCTTCCTGCTCCTTCTCCTCGAGGAGGATGCGGCGATCCGCCCCCCCCCCTGGCAGTACTTCGGAAGAAGACGCCTACACAGATCCACATCTCCTCTCCCATTTCCCCTCCATCAGAGGAGGAGGAGGAGTAGGAAGAAGAAAAAAATAAGGGGTGGAGGCAATACGACGTGTCGATGCTGCTGTTGCTGTTGCTGTTGCTGATGCTGATGCTGCTGATGGTGATGATGACGATGATGACGAGGAGGAGGAGGAGCATGGTGATGATGTTGGTATTGCTGACGGTGCAGATGTTGCTGGCGATGATGGTGATGATGGCGTTGATATGCATGCTGCTGTTGATGACCATAACGATCAATATACCGATGATGATGACGATGATGGTGATGGTGCGGATGACGGCGACGATGTTGTTGACGATGACGATGGTGATAATGTTGGTGGTGATGATGGTGGTGATGATTATAATGGTGATAGTCGTCATGATGATGATGACGACGATGATGATGATGATGATGATGATGATGATGATGATGATGATGATGATGATGATGATGGTGACGATGTTGAATACGATGATGCTGATGCTGATGATGACGATGGTGATGATGCTGGTGATAACGATGATGCTGGTGATGGTGGTTGTGGTGGTGGTGATGATCATGGTGATGTCGGCGATGCTGATGCTATGATGTGACGATGATCTTGATGATGATTATGATGATGGTTTGATGATGATGCTAGCGATAACGATGACAATGATGACTTTGACATTGGCAACGATGATGAGGATGATGATCATGCTGCTGATGCTGGTGATGACGATGATGATGATGATGATGACGGTAACCTTAATGATGATACTGATTGGTGATGATGGTTGTTGTTGATGATGATTATGATGATGACGGTGGTGGTCGTGACGAGGATGCTTGTGGTTGTGGTGATTATGATCATGATCATGGTGATGTTGTTGATAATGATGATGCTGATGCTGGTGGCTGTGTTGGTGGTGATGAAAATGGTGGCATCGGCGATGACGATGCGAGGATGTGCCGATTATGTTGATGCTGATGGTGATGATGCTGGTGTTGATCATGATGCTAGCTGCTAGCGGTGACGATGACGTTGACGTTGACGACGGTGATGATGATGAGGATGATGATCATAATGATGCTGATGATGACGATGATGATGGTGACCTTAGTGATGATGATGATTGGCGATGATGGTTGCTGTTGTTGATGAGGGCGTTGGTGGTGCTTGTGGTTGTGATGATGATGACGATGATGATGATGACGATGATGATGATGACGATGATGATGATGATGGTGATGGTGATGGTGGTGATGACGGTGATGAGAATGATGGTTATGAAAATAATAGTGATGGTGATGATGCGATGATGCTGTTGATGCTGGGGCTGGTGAATGTGAGGAGGAAGAGGTGGACCTGTCGGAGTTTGATCACCTTTGCTTGCTCCCTTGCCGCGCGGCAGCCCCACCGAAGGCCCTGGCCCACCGACCCTGGACAGCCCGGCGGCCCTCCGCGTGGCGGGGGGGGGCGGGGTCGTCGCCGGCGCCGTCGCGGGGCCCATTTCGATCGGATGGTTCCAAGCGCGGTAGAAGCCAGGAGGACCAGAGAATTGGGAGGCGGAGGAAGAAGAGGAGGAGGAGAAGAAGGAGAAGGAGGAGGAGGAGAAGGGGGAGGAGGAGGGGGAGGAGGAGGGGGGGAGGAGGAGGGGAGAAGGGGGGGGAGGGGAACAGGCTCCGGGGGGGGGAAGGTACCGATACCCTTGCTCGTCCTGGAGGGCTCTCGTCGCCACGGCTGGATTCTCGTCGAAATTCTGGTCGGAATGCACCCCATGAGAGGTCCGTGGAGCAGTGGTATCGGAACCGTCTGGTTTCTTCCCAGAAGCAGGACAAGCGGGAGCAGGAGCAGGAAGCGGAGGAGGGAGATTGGACGAGGCGACGGAGCAGCAGCAGGTAAGGGAGCACGATGTCGAAGGTCGTCGTGCAGACGGCCAGCTTCGACTCTGCTGGGCTTGGGAGGACTTCGGGGAGCCTCGGCTCGGCGGGATGCTCTGGTCCACTGGCCCCGACATCTTTGACAGAGGCTGAGAGGGGTGGCCCGATGCGACTCCGAGGGTCCGATGCGGCCCAATGCCTGCACAATTCTGCTGTGACTTCCTGGCGCGGCCGACACGATTCCACTGCGGCTCAGGGCCGCTGCGGCCCGACCCAGCGCACACGCTGATTCAATATGATTTCCCGATGCGATGTTCATTGTTCTTGCCTCGTCGTCGCCGCCGCCGGTAGTCGTCCACCCGTCGTCGCATGACGAAACGACGGCGGCGAGAGTGACGACGACGACGACGACGATGGAGGAGGAGGAGAAGGAGGAGGAGGAGACTCAAGGTTTGGTGAACGCTTTGGCTTCTGGCTTCCTCCTGGAGGCTTCTCGGAGGCGAGGCCTCCTCTGGGGACCTCTGCGGGGATCGCGGCAGGGCCCCCGAGGATCCCTGGAGGGGGTCGTCGTCGTCGTCTGCCCAGATCTCCGACGATCTGATCCGTTCAATCCAAGGTCTGTTCCCGGATGTTCGCCACTGGGGCCCGTTCTCGGACCCCGTGGCCATCATGAGCAGACCCAGGACGACGGGCTGTCCCGGAGCAAGGGGTCGGGATCTCTTTTGGGGCCGCGCACTGGCAGAAGATCTCGTCGGATGCCTGGGTTCGCTGTTCGGACGGTTTTCTCCTGCTTGGTGGAAAATCCTTCCTCCTGGCGGGTTGGGATCCGGTCGTGTTTCCTATCAGCTGCCGCTCGTCGAGAGCCTTCTGGGGCCCTTCCTCCGGCGTTGCAACTTGTTTCGCGCCCGAGGTCTGGACCACGCTCCATTTTGAGTTGTTCCTCCACTGCCAAGCGGCTCCCAGGTGCCGAACGCTGATACAAGCCCAACCCGTCCGAAGCGACTCGTTCCTCAGGCCCTTGCCTCCGGGGCTGCTCGGAAAGCTGCGGCGCGCGCTTTGATGTGCCTTGCTTCATGGCCATGGGGCCCTCACGTATCGACAGGGCTCGCGAGGTTTCACGTAAATTCGGGACGGAGGCCCCCTACCTGATATCTTTCTCGAGCGCCGTCGTATCTGGGCGAAGAGAAGTACGCACATGCGCCGCCGATTCTGGCCAGGCCCGTCCTTGGCCCAGGATCTGTGCACGTGCCTTCCCAGCCAAGGCAGGAGGGCGTGTGCACTGATCCTGGGCTCAGAGGGGGCTTGGACAGAATCGGTGCATGTTCTTAGTTCTCTTCGAGGAGGAGATCGACTACATAATTGCCCGCCGAAAATGTGGAAATTACATATAATGTATCGTAGATCTACGAACACGCTTCGTGTTTCTTGCATATTCGACGGGAAATCCAATCGTGTAGTAAATCGGTTACGTGGTCGATCCTCTATTCGATCTCTTTCCTCCTTACGTATACTCTGAGTGCCTCGATAGTTCTGGCCCCCCCGTGCTACAAGGCCCCCCCCGGACTACAAGGACTATAAGGACCCCCCCCTGGATTACAAGGGCCCCCTCCACGACTGCAGGGACCCCCACCCGGATTACAAGGACCCCCCCCGGGCTACAGCCACCACGCCCAGCACAAGTGCTACGGGATGCCACAGATAGGCAATTGCCACAACCCTGAACGACGACTACGACTACGACGACTACGACTACGACTACGACTTCGCCCCGCGAAGATCACAGTGTCCCTGCCCCCCCCGGACTACTCACTACAGGACCCCCCCCTGGACTACAAGGCCCCCCCCTCCCGGACTACAAGGGCCCCCCCCCTGGACTACAAGGCCCCTCCCCCCCTACCGACTGCAGGACCCGGGGCACCCCCCCAGACTACAGGGGTCTCCCCTGGACTATTGGTCACCCCAGAACTATTGAGGCACACAGAGCAGGAAGGGCGCCATGGCAGGGGACCGCCCGAGCGAAGTGAACCCCACCCTCCCCCTCAGAAATCGTGGGGGGTAGGGATAGGGCTCGCATGTGGCCCCCTACCTGGAAGAACAAGGTTCCGCGATTCTGCACCACATGTGGCCTCCCGGGGTCCTCCGCAGGCCCCGGGACTGTCAGAGTCCAGCCGTGGCCGCTCGGCCGTGGCGCGTCGGGCCTTCCGCCGCCCCCCCGGCGCCGCAGCTCCTCCCGGGAGGCGTGGCGCCTCGGGCATCGCGGATCGAGGAGAGGAGGCTCAAGCGTCGAGGGATCGGGATCGAGGAGGAGGCTCGAGCGTGGAGACTCGAGAGTCGAGGCTTGGGGATCGAGGAGGAGGCTCGAGGGCCGAGGATCGAGGGTCGAGGAGGAAGATGGGGGAGGAGTATGGAGGAGTATGGAGGAGGAGGAGGAGGAGGAGGAGGAGGAGGAGGAGGAGGAGGATCGATCAGAGTGAAAAGCTGGTCCTGGGGGAAGGCGCCCGCTTCCAGTAAAAGCGGCACGTGGTCTTCTTCCAAACCCGTCTGCCTCGTGCCGAGAGGGTAATGTTTGTTTCTCGACCGCCTCATGACGGGGAGAGGCCACGTGCAACTGCTAGATGCAGCCCATGCCCACGGCTCAGAGGATGGCCGTCTGAGACGGCGGCGCTCCTGGAAGGAGGAGGGGCGGGGAGGGGGGGCAGAGGCAGGCGGGGTTGTGTCAACGAGAAATCCTGCCAACCCTGTGGGCGCGGGTGGCTTAGCGTGCTTCCTCTTACAGCGCCCCGTCTGCCCCTTCGGGGGAGGCCTCCCCCCCCCCCCAGGATCTGGAAGGGGAGGGGGGGGGGCAGCGCGGCGTCAGAGCGCCCAGGATGGCTTCCGTGCAGGTGAGGCACTTCAACAAGGGCCACTCTGAGCTCTGAAGGTGATCGTTTCCTCATTCATTGTTTTGTCGAGCAGCGCGGGCCCTCGCAACCCCCCGCCCTCCCCCCCTCCCTCCCATGGAGTAGATCTTGGCTGTTTTTTCTCGCCTGGTTCGAGCAGGTGGAGTCTTCTCCGTAGGATGCACTGCTGCAAACAGTCGCACAAAGCAGAGCTCCGGAGCCAGACCCCCCCTCCCCTCCCCGCCCTCTTCCGCCCAATGTCGAAACGCCGAATAAGAAAACGTTCACCTGAGCTCGGAATAGGCTCTGGCGTGCGGGCCGCTCCTCAGTTCTGGGCCAGGGAGCCTAGCTTCGCGCCCGGGGGAAGGACCTGCGCTCCTTCTCTCCTTCTATTCGGCGATCCTTCCGAGAAGGCAAGCTCGCGCTGGTGTCGATGTGACGGCGACCCCGCCGCGGGCGTTCAACGGCCTCCTCCTCCTCCTCCTCCTCCTCCTCCTCCTCCTCCTCCTCCTCCTCCTCCTCCTCCTCCTCCTCCTCCTCCTCCTCCGTTCCTCGGTCCTTCTCATGAGGCAAGTCTGCGTCGTGTCGATGTGACGGCGGCCCCGCCGCGGGCGTCCGAAGTTGAACGCCGCTGGTGGCCCAGACTCGGCCAATACTGGAACGATCTGGCGATGAAACGGCCGCCGAGGGATCAACTTCGAGCGATCCACGCGGTGTCAGAGACCAACGCCGCGGTCGTCACGACACGAACTTGCCGCAGCACGACTGCTGCGCCCATGTAACGCGGAGTCCCAGAGGTCTAGACCTTTCCCCGTGACCGGTTTTTCATCCTTCATCCCGAGCCGTCTTTTGTCGGTCCCAGGGCTTGGCGAGGGCCCCTGGAGGCCGAAGGGTCCCAAACTTTTCCTGTCTTGATGCAAGTGCAACGAGAGCCCGCCACGCGCAGAGGGGGGTTTGGGGCAGGGAGGGGAGGCTTCCATTAGAAGCACCCCTGCTTCTTCGAAGGCGCGGGCCCTGTCTGTAGGCATAGGGCCGCCGCTCTCGAAGGAGCGGCCTCCATCTAAGAAGCCTCCCCCTGGCCCCCTTTGCGCGCGCCGCCAATTGTGGCAGCACGACGGCTGCGCCCATCCTTGGCTTCAAGCTTCTCCGCCGCAGCTGCGCCCCCGGCCCCAAGGCCGGGCGCCAAGGATGGGGGCCGAGGCCGCGGATGCAGGCGTGCCGCCCGCCGCGGAGGCACGCTTGCCGACGCGCGTGCTCTTCTTCGGCTGGGGGGCGGCCGCCGAGGAGGTGCTGAAGGAGCTCGTGGAGTACAGCGCGAAAGGACTGCAAGGGAAACAGCGCGTGTGAACTGCCCGCGCAAACACGCGCGTAAGTGCCCTCTCCTTCCGCTAGTGCCAGCCACGCTGGCGGCCCGCGTAAGCCGCGGGGTAAGGTCGCTGGGTCTTCTCGCGTAAGGCCCGTGTCCTTTCGTAGGTAGCCTGTCAGGGGAGGTCGAGTGGAGACAGCGTTAGTTGGCGCTCGGAGGGGGGGGGTCCCACATCGCCACGGCTGGACGCAGCTCGGCAAACTGGTGCGTCTGGACCCCGGGAGGGGTCCGGGGCCGATTATCACCTGCCGTTGTCTCAACATGCCTTTCTCCGATAAACAGTGGTGCATAGTTCGCCGAAGCGCTACCCTCGAGGGTGCCAGACACACCGCGTGATAGATGAATTGTCTTCTTAGCCCTCTCTCTCTCATTCTGTACGCGAATCAGCCTCGCCGACGCTGAACACTGCTGTGGGCTCGGACCCCAACTGCTGTCCCTACAGGAAACCTAACAGACCAACGAGACATGGATGAGGAAAAAACCTTCTGCCCTGTTCCGACAAACTGACCCAACGCGATCTAGCCCCCCCCCCTCCCCCCCGCCCATCCAAGGACAGCTCCTTTCCGACCCCCTCCCAGCGCCGACTGATCAGCTCAGCTCGGAGCACCCTCGTCGGGGTGTGGCCCCCTGTCGGGGCGCCAACAGGGGGGGGGGACTTCGAGGAAGAATCCCTGCTGCATCATAGTCAAACAGAATCTTTCGGAGGTCCGCACGGATTTCCTGGATCCGCGCCGAGTATCACGGGCGGCGCCTCTGGCGCCGCCCCTGGATGGGGCTCAGCGCAGGGAGGGGCCCAGAGAAGATCCAAGGAATCCGTATGGAATTCCGACAATTTGTGTGTAGCGATTTGCTTCCTCTCCCCGGCCCCGCTTACAGGATGGGCCGTTGTGCATTGCATATCGCACAAAGCGCAGGCAAAGGACAGCGATCTGAGTGAGGTCTGCGAGCGCTTGGGCTTTGCCTGCAGCCTCGCCGACGAGGGCGACGAGCTGCTTCGGATTGCCAGCGCGTTTGCGCCCAGCTTGATCATCTCCGCATCCTACCGCCACAGGATAGCGAGCAGCATCCTGGAGCTGTGCGCCGACCGGGTCAACTTCCACCCGTCGCTCCTGCCCAGGTCGGCCGCATGTCAGATTAACCTTAAGTCGGTCCTGTCCCTCTACAGGGGGACTATTCGAACATGGTTTTAAACATAGTACGGGGACTATGTTTGGAATACTCTTGTTCGCCATTTGGGAGTATGTTTTGAATATTCTTTTATTTTTCGTCCAAAATCCCCCTGTAGGGGGACACGCCCGACTTAAAATTATCCCTTTGCCGGAGTGGCCCTTCAGTGCGGGCTCACAGGGGGTCCCCACCGGCCCTGGCCTGCGCGCTTGGATGTGGCCTCCCTGCGGCCCCCCAAACGCTGCGCACCAGAGGCCGCTCCTGTCCAGGGCCGCTCTGGAGGTAAGTCGGGCATGTCCCTCCACAGGGAAAATATCCAAAAGTAGTCAAAAAGCAGTCTGGGGATTATTTTTTGAGTATATTTTGACCATTTGGGAATATGTTCTGATATTTTTGATTTTTCGTCGGCAATCCCCCTGTAGGGGGACACGCCCGACCTAACTCTTGAGTGTGGCCGGCCAGGCACCGGGGTTGCATGTCTGGCTTCTGGGCCATCTTCGAGGGCGACGCAGAGACGGGGGTGACCTGTCACCGCATGGTCCACGAGTTCGACCGCGGGCACATCTTGTGGCAGGAGCGCGCACCGATAGCCGGCGACGACACGTCCTTCTCCCTGTACAGGAATCGGGATGGTCGAAATGAGTACAGGAAGAATGGGCACTGAAAGTACGGGACCGACAGGAGTCTCTGTCGCTTTGGAAGACGGTTCGCTGTCCGCGCCGCCGCGGACCCTTTTCCGTGTGAGACAGAAGGCCACCTCGCCTGCCCAACAGCCGCCGCTGTCGGTTTTGGACAGCACTTGCTTCGGGCTGAACGAAAGGGGGGGATAGGGAAAGGGGAGGGTACGTAATCTGCTGCATGCAGCTGGTTTCGGCCCCACCAAGGGGCCCATTCATTCCTCGATACATCGCCGCCTCTGGCGCCGGGAGGCGCCAGGAAAAGCAGCTACGTGAGCTGATTCTCAACCCCCCCTCTTTGCTATCCCCCCCTTTCGCCCGGCCCGAACTTGCTGTTGGGCATCGTGCACAGCTTTCCCGTGCCTCTTTCGGGTGCCTGAGAGAGGAAGTTGTTGCCCGTCACTGCGGCCTGCGCGCGGCGGGTGCTTGCCATGCACTTCGGGAGCGGGGGCCTGCCGCCGGGCCAGGAGCCTCCGCGGAGGAAAGCACAGGCCGCAGACAGTCAAGGCGATGCAGTCCAGGAGGGGGAAACACACAGACACAAATCGTCGTCGATTCCCAGGACAATGTGGAGAATATCGGAAGTGGCACGGGAAGACGAACATCCAGTAGATGTGGCACATTTGGAAATCCTGGGATGAGTCTGTCGCAAAGACGAAGGCCCTCACAATGACCTCGCCTGAAGGAAGCTCAAGCAAAGTGACTTGGGGCTGGACGGAAAGAGGGGTCAGAAGCCCCGTCGGCGCAAACACAGATGTGACGAGCACCGCCGTACCTCATACCCACAGTTGTGGTCGAAGGCAATCAACTGCCAACAACACCGCACCTGCAGCCCAAGACCGTGGCCAGTATGCCTACTTATGCGTGTGCCCCTGAGGCCCTCCAGAAGTGAGGGCCATGGTAGAACGATTCGAGGATCGATCAGGGGACGGGAGGATCTGGGGCTGAGTTGGAGCGGATCTTGCTTGGGATTCACTGCGGGTCCCAAGAACGGCGCGGTGACAGACCGCGCGGTGTCTGCGGATCCCCCAGAGAGATCTGGCTCAGGAGGGGTTCTGCTCTCTGGGCCGGTCCTCAGATCTACGTCTTGGAACCGATTCGTGGCCGATGCTCGCCGTGGCCAGAAATGACCTTTCGTTCCTCATTCAGCGTTCATATTATGGTGGCACGATGGCTGTATCGCCACTCTTCCCTTGTCGCCACGGCTGGATTCGCTTCGAAAGCCTGGTCAGAAGGCACTGCGGGAGAGGTCCAGGGAAGAGCGGCACGGGCATCTCCTTGTCCCCCCAGGAGCAGACCGGGGCGTCGTCCTACCACCATCGCAGGCTGCCTTTCGATGGGCTCATCCAGCCCGAGTGGCCCGCCGACCAGGTGGAGCGCTTCATACGCGCCATGGTGTACCCTCCGTTCGAGGGCGCCGCGCTCCTGGTCGGCGGCGAGCGCGTCCCCGTGGAGTCGCTCGAGGCGTTTATGAGCCTCCGCCGCGGGGCCGGGGCCGGCGCCGCGGCGGCCGCGGCGGCCGCGTCCCCGGCGGGGCCGGCTCCCCCAGGCGACCAGTCCTGACGCGGGCCAGCCTGGCGCCTCTCTCCTTCACCCCCTCCTCCTCCTCCTCCTCCTCCTCCTCCTCCTCCTCATCCAACTCCTCCTCATCATCATCATCCTCCTCCTCCTCAATCCTTCTCCCCCGCCGTCGGATCAGGGGGCGCAGTCCTTCTCAGGGGCAGCGTTACGGGGAGGATCGGGCTCAGGGAGGGTGCATCGGCCCCAAGTTGCCCATGCATCGCCGAGCGGGGCCCAGCAAGGGTGGGCAACCTTCCCAAGGGTGCTCTTGCATCCTTGCCCCTTCGGCCCATCCGTGGCGACTCGAGCTGGCCCACCTCGTTCCACAAACGCCAGCGCGGCCCTCCAAGGCCCTTGCATCCTTACCGCGCATCCTTGTGATACGGGTCGACTGCAGCCCACGTGCAGCGCCGCTGTAGGGGAGCAAGGAATGACATAAACATGAAAACTCGGAGACCCGCGCGGACCTCCGCGGTTTGGTGTTTGTGACGTTCTTCGCTCCCCTGCGCTATTGTATTGCTCGACGACGCATCGCCGATTCCAGGTCGATGCTTCCTCCCACGCCAGCCAGTCCCCCCGTGATGATCGTTGCCCCTTCAAAGGGGGCACGGTCCCCCTCGGAGGGGGGCAGCTGAGGCGACGGCGGCATCCCCGCCCGGCCCAGCACGCCTCCCAGCGAGCAGTGGCGAAGCGTCCTGGCTCGCCTCTAGGCCCACAAGAGAATGTTCGAAGAACCTTTCTGTGGTCTGCACGACGTGTCCTCAGACCATTTCTGGCTGAGACTGTCTCGTGTCGAGCGCATCGGGCTCATGGTTTCAGATCGCTGTTTCTGTCATGAGAGCACTGTTGTCCGTGGTGGGCCTATGGGAATGCCAGGACGACCGGCCCCTTCTCAATTCAGGAAGGGAAGAAGCACACAGGCAAAATTAATCCACGATTCCCATGAAAATGTTGGAAAATATGGGAAATGGGGGGGGAAGACGAAAACCCAGAAAACATGAAAAAAATATCCCAGTGCGACCCTACCTAGGAGTTGGAGCCCCTAGGAAAACAGCATTAGTAGTAACTGCAAAGCTAAGCTAAAGCTAAGCTAGCTTAAGCTAAAGCTAAGCTAAAACTAAGCCAAAGCTAAGCTGAAGCTAAGCTAAAGCTAAGCTGAAGCTAAGCTAAAGCTAAAGCTAAAGCTCCCAGGGGACTGGGGGAACCGCTCCCAGGGGACTGGGGGAACCGCCCGGAGCGGGTTGCACTGCCCGGCCCTTTTTAAACTACAGAGTAAGAACCCTTCTAGGCAGAGCCTAGCCTAGGTAGGGAATATGGGGGATCCTGTCATTTGTGTGTATTTGTTTGTGTGCTCCTGGGCCCCTTCATCAACCCCAGGGCCCGTCCTGACCCATTCTCGGCGGCGGACCCAGCCGTGGCGACGAGAAGCCTCGCCTCCGGCCGGCCCGAGAGCAAGGACGAGACGTGCCCCGGGCAGGGCCGCCGCCGCCTCGACGGGCCGCCCTCCGCGAGCCCCGGGGGCTCGCCGTGCCCGGCGAGCCCCCGGCGAGGCAGACAGACGCTCCGGGGCTCCTCTGTCGGGGGCGGCCATTGGGGGAGGCTGTCCAAAGAGGTGGATGTCATGGCTCTGGCCAGGGTGTCGCCTCCTTCTTCCAACCATCTGTCTCAGTTCCTAGTTCCGTGTTATATCATGATCACCAGTATGCGATGCCCCACCCTTGCATTATTCTCCATCTGATTAACATTGTGATTACCATCCGCACGAAGGTGTAATTGCTAATCATGTTCTGATTATCCTTCTGTCAGGGCGTCCCTTGCACCCCGCCTCGCCCGCGCGCGCGCGCCTCGGGCTCTGACTTTCGAATCCCCCTCTTGGACGCCCGTCCCCTTGGCCGCCCCCGGGCTCTTCTTCCCGCCAGGTTGCCGGAGCTCCCCGCCCTGCGCGTTCCAGGGCCGAGGAGCCCCCTTCCGGGCAGCCGCGGCTGCGCTGCTGGCAGATCCGCCTTTAAGTCTACTCTTTAGTCGGGCCTGTCCCTCTACAAGAGGACTGCTCAAAAATAGTATGCAGACTATGTTTTGGGGGTATTTTGGGGCATCTGTTGATGCATATGTTTGGTGTATAATCCCCCTGTAGGGGGACAGGCCCGACCTAAGTCTACTCATGGAAAACGTCTGTTGCAGGGGGGGATCGGCTCAGGTTGGCGGCGCGCACCAAGAGGGGGGGGGTAGCGCGAGGGGGGCGGCCTTCGGAGAAGGCGGGGGGGGGAGCTTCGAAGGAGGCAGGGGTCTTCTGAGAGAAGCCCCCCCGGGGTCGTCCCGAACGGCCGCCGGGAGCCAAGCTGTGACCCGACAGCTGTGGGGCAACGGCATGGGGGGCATCGGGGGGATGCGGTGATGCATCGACCCCCAATCGCCCATTCATCGCCGACATGGGCCGACAGCCCACCCCGCCCAGGGGCGTAATTACGGATTCGGCATCGGGGGCCTATCGCCGATCTACTGG